GCACCCTCGCGGTCGCGCTCGTGTGCTCCACCGCCACGAGCAATCGAAGCGATACGTCGTTCGTGTAATTGAGGAAGTCGGCGTCGAGCAACCGTCCTCGACCTCCCATCGGCCAACCGTTTTCGGAATAGTCGCTCAGCTCCGTACAATCTCCGTAGCCCTTGAGGCAACCCAAAATCGCAGAGTGCACCGCCGGACCGATTGAGTCTCGCACAGAGAACGTGTTGTTAGACGACGGCAGGTCAGCATCCACGCGCGTCAGGTTAAACGCATCCGCGACGTGCGCCAGGATCTGTTGGGTGAGAAAGTCCTCGCTCCGTACGGTAACAACGGCTTGGTGAACGTTTTTGTACGCGATCGCCACACAATCCTTGCCGTCGCTTCGTATCATGGCGTCGTCGTTTTCGTGCGTTTCAAAACGCAACGATTTATCGTCACGCGTCGTTGACGCGTTTCCCGCGTACAGTACGCATATTTGTCCTCCGTCGATACCCGGTTCAACAAACAGAGTGAATCCGCGATCTTGCAAATATACGCTCCGGATTCCGCTTGGGATATTGTGAACAATCTTCACGCTCGCCAAGTTCTCGGTTCTTTGAAGCACGTGGTTAAGCGGAGCGCCAACGTTCACGTCGGAGGAGAGACCCACTCGAAGGTCGGGCGCTCCCGGTACGGACGCGAAGCTCCTCACGTTGGGCGTATCGCGAGAGACCGATTGGAAGAATATACCCGCTTCTAGTTTGTACAAACCATCAACGCGCGCCCTCGAACCCAAACCGTAGTCTACCCGAGATCTCCTTGTGTATCTATAATGAAGCGTGCCGTTTCCCTCTCCCGCCGCGGCGACGACGCTTGCCAGCGTTCGTAAAACACCCCAGCTCGATCCCGGTTTTCCAAACGTGTATTCAAAACATCCTAGGTCGAAACTCCTCACGCCCCATTTAACCATATCTTGTATAAAATCGGCGAGCTCCGTCGTATCGAACGCAACCGCATTCGTTTTTGTGTAACGGTTAACCCGTTGCGGATGTGACTTACAAAGCGCGTACACGGCGTAGCCGGACGAAGGTATCGAAACTATAATACCGTTGGGGTTGTCCGACAACCGACGCAACTCGTCGAAAACCACCAAACCGGACGGCTTTAGGCCGATACCCGTTATGTCGAGTGTGTACGGATGGTCGGGGACGTACGTACCCGCTCGCCACGCGTCAAGGTTCAACTTGTCGCAGCGCGACCGCTGCGACAACAACACGTTGTCGACGTCTAAACGCGCGCCAAACCTCGAAATCAATTCACCCAAGCCGGTCAACGCTTCTTCGGCGACATTCTGGGCTTTAGATAACGGTCGACCGTCTTTGTCGCTCTGATAATCTCGCGCGTTTAGCAACTCTTGCGCCGCGGACATTTTAATATTGGGTATAAAGTCCACGTCCCGTCCGTGTATTTCGCTCAGGTTAGCGAAAACTGACAGTTCTTGTGGCGATAGCGCGCCGGTCTCAATTATAATGAATTTAGGCACGGTCGCGTTGTTGCGCTTCAGCCATTCCAACAGCAAAGACACCTGATCGATCCTCGAAACGGTCGAAACGTCCGCGAACTCGACCCTCATACCCGGCGTCCCCCAATCCTGCTGTTCAATGCATTCCAGCGTATCTCGCAGGTTTCGCGGCGCCGCGAAACAATACGCCTCATCCCCCGATGTGGGCGTTTCTCGTAAGTCGTAGCACACATCTAACGACGTCCGCGGTCGATACTCAAACGTTAAAGTCATCTCGATAAAAACCGCGTCGCATTGTTTGAGGTCAACGGGAGCGCCGTTTGCGTGTCTGTTTGGTCCACCCGGTATATAGAATACGTCGGCGGTCACCGAACAGAACCTTCTGATCGTCGGCGTCACGGACCCGTACAGCGACCTGCCCGGGTTCGCCACGACGCGTTGTTGCTCATACGCCACATCCAACGTCCACTCGTCGCCGACGCCCGGCACACCGGGTATCTTGCGCGGTTGTGCAACGGAGACGCACGCCGGTGAACACAGCCCACGTGGGTTCGCGTAATCCAGCAGAGAAGCCTCGCAATCGCAACCCGGACTAAACTTTGGTTTTCTAATGGCGGTCACGAAACCCTCGGCAAACATCTTTACCATCTCGCTTTTCTTTGCATCGGTTATTTGCGTCGTATCTTCACCGTGTTGATCTTCGGCGGACACCGAGATTCTTACGACGTCGAACGAGTCCAAGCGGAACTTTCGCACCATGAGCGATACATTGAAGCGGTGTGCCAGAAAAACGTTTTCGTGCACGCGGTGCCACTCCGGTCCGTTTGCTATTTCGTAACCGTCGTTTAAATGATCGCGTACAATTATATCACCGACTATCGGGGCATACAACGTGTTGATCACGGTCATGGTGCTCATCGAGGCCGACGCGCGCGCTTGTTTGTACACGGTCCAAAGCGTTTCTTTTAGCACGTAGCGGGTATTTAGCGTGCCCAGCGGTAGGAAATACACGGCGTCTATCAACAGCGAGCCGCTTGTTTCGACCAAGATCGGAGTTTGCGTTATGTATACGCGCGGGATGGGCTGAAATGGGACATCGACTCCGGCGCTTATGTCAGAGTAATATAGGATCGGTACAACAACTTCGCTGTAAAATTTCCGCACGAGATTGTACAATTTCAAGTGTTGCAACGTCTGAAACATGGTCGACACGGGACTGTCCACGTTCCGTAAAAGCACGTCCAGATCGCGAACGCTGTTGTCCACGCTGTTCATCGCGTGGTTTTTATATAGTTTTATCATGTCGCGCGAACCCTCGGCTCTGAATTTATCGTGTGATACGATGTCCCCCGATAGACTTCTGTACGACAAATATAATAATCTTACGTCGGTAAAACTCAACGTGCGCAACCACGACACGGTTAGCTTGTTTAGCGTATCGTGTACGATCCGATTCGGAATCGCGTATCTCGCGACGGGGTCTGACATCGCGTAGTGCTCTGTTTTTCCGCATATCGTATCGTGCCACGGTGTGGCTTGTTTGATGACCACTTTGTGCAGCGAACACCGTTTGTGCGGTACGCACGTTTCGCGTATGGGCGCTAAGGAGATTGTCTCAACGTGATAACCCGCGGGACATTCTGCGCCGCACACGCGTTTCGACGCGTAAGGCACCCCCGCTGGACATTGGGTTATGCAAGCGGGCAAATTGTTCCTTTCGCAACCGTTGTAAACCTGACCCGATCTCTTGGGGCACTCTCCTTTGGCGCATGTTGCCGGTAGTAAAACATACCCAGACGACGCGT